AATAATAATAATAATAATAATAATAATAATAATAATAATAATAATAATAATAATAATAAACGCAAGGGGTAAAGTGGAAAATCTATATTTCATGTGGTTGTTTTGGACAGGTGGTCGTTAGGGTAGGTTTACTTTTGAGTATATAGTATCGTTCATTCTGTTTTACACCACTTCACGCATGTTCGTTGGTTTAATATGAATTCGGTGTCTTTGGTGTTGCATTTCAGCTCCTCGGTGTTTCACGTAATTTAATTTTTTTTTGTTAGAGTTTAACGCCACTTTCAACACAATGAGTGCCGAAGATCAGAGGTGCTACAAGAGAGCAACAAACACGAAAAAGAAGGAGGAGAGTTTTTAAAAAACCCTAGGTTTTTGGTTAAAAAGAAGGAGCAAACCACACCAGAGCGCTCGCCAACCACCATTCACGTAGAACACTTGAGTTTGCTTTGAGCATTACGGTATTTTGTCCTCAGATTCAAAGCAGCCCTTCTCCTACTGGGTCTCAATCGTGTCACCCTTAGATAGAATCTTGCGAATACTCAGATTTTGTATGTTACCTTTGCGGAAATAATAGCTCTGTCTAAATGTGCCGTGTTAAGAATGTTTATATTATTTTCTATTTCAAAGTTGAATCGTTATCATCTCTGTCAACTTAAGTTTCATTATTCGAAGAAATATGTAGGTTTTTTAAATAGTGCAACTCAAATTTTCTAAAAGTGAACCTCTCAAAAACAAAGGAAATGATTTTTGATTTTGGAAGAGAAAAACCAACAATCCCACCACTCGTAATTGAACAAGAAACTATTGAAATCACGGATTCATACACATATCTTGGCCTTACAATAGACAACAAATTTACATGGCAAAACCACGTAAACAATATCGCTAAAAAAGTAAATCAGAGGCTGTACTTTCTGAGGAAACTAAAGTCTTTCAATCCGAATCCATCCATCCTTCAGATTTTCTACACCACCACAATAGAAACTTTGATAAATTTTGGAATCACTTGCTATGGTAGCAATCTGGGAAGGCAACACATTATAAAACTAAATAAGTTGATAAAAAGGGCATCAAGAACAATTGGTAGAGACCTAAGTAACTTTGAATATCTGCACAAGACAAACGTTCTAAAAAAAAGGCGGAAATAATGCTTAGTGACCATAGTCACCCACTGACATCGGAATTTCAACTATCGACCCGCAGTAAACGATACATTTCCAAAAAGCAAGAGCAGACAGATATAGAAATTCATTCGTACCAACTGCAGTGAGGTTACTGAACACACAGTGCTACAAATGAAACAGAGAGAGAGAGAGAGAGAGAGAGAGAGAGAGAGAGAGAGAATGAATGTGTTACGGAGCGGGTTGTCCCAGCCCGTGAGACATGTATTTACTTGGCATAATGTCCTGTCTTGTTGTGCGTTTGCGTGAGTTCACCTTTAAGTCTAACTTTTGTAACGTCTACTGCCATTGTTAACGACCAAGACAAATTTCTCCCTGCGAGATGAATAAAGATTGTCATTGTCATTGTCATTGTATTGTTAGTCCCAGGTCTGTATGGAGAAACTGTACTTCATAATTTATTAAAATTTTTTTGTCTATGCATTATGTAACTGATTGCTAACTATCCGAATAACTGTTTTTTCTGTGAATGCCATAATTTTCAGAAACGATATGAAAGCTATTCCTCATGGGCAACGCTGAAAAAAACCCTCCATCTTCAACAAATACAAAAAACAATTAAATACAACAAAACCCAAACAAACAGACTTTCAACCAACAAAATATTAAAAAAAATTTTGGGGAATTGTCATTTCCCCCCCCCCCCCCCCCCCCCAGCCATCAGCTGTACCAACAAAAAAGCTGTTGTGTTGGTTATTCTGGTCACAGCTCCTCTTCTTCTCTATATCAACATTTTGACTTCGGTATCGCTTCGGTGGAAAACGAATTTCACACAGGTACAAATATCTTTACTTTTTTTAAAATTCATATTATCGTTTTTCTTTTCTTTTTTAATTTTTTTCTTTTCAAAGTTTTTTTTTGGGGGGGGGATGGGGGAGGAGGGGGGTTGGATCATGGTTAGATTCCCTCACCACAGACTTTTTACAGAGAAACATGATGCCCGTTTGATGAATGGACAACGGAGAGGGAAGTTAGTCATATAAATTTAAGTAAAACGTTAATAGCTTGAAGACCAGAAACATAACAACAAAGAGGACAGACAGACAGACAGACAGACAGACAGACAGACAGACAGACAGACAGACAGAC